CAGCCTAGCCAACATGGTGAAACCCCATCTGTACTAAAAATGCAAAAATAAGCCAGGCATGGAGGCACATGCCTGTAATTCCAGCTACTCGGGAGGCAGAGGCAGAGGAATTGCTTGAACCCAGGAGGCGGAGGTCGCAGTGAGTGGAGCTGGTACCACCGTGCTTCAGCGTGGGTGACAGAGCCACACTCCAAAAAGGAAAACAAACAAAGCAAAACAGAAAAACACTTGTGGGCATAGGAGATGGCACGGCTGTCTGCAACAGGCTGGGGCTAGAGAAGCTGCACTTACACACTGCCCTGGGATTTTTTGCTGTCTCCGCTCCTCAGACCTTTGCTCCAGCCTCTAAAGCAAATTTCCTGGGTTGCTTTCGCAGTGGAAAAGCAGCAGCACCCATTACAGAGGAAACTGTGATTAGGAAGCGAGGGAAGAGTTGGTAAAATGGGACAAAGTTGAAATTGGAACACAGCCTGAGGAAAGGAGATTGTGGGGACCCTCCCTCCATTCTCCCAGCCCCAGCTGTGAAGTGATCCATCAGAGGCTGACCAATGCAATTTATGCTTTCAGTCCACAGGAGCATCCAGGGAAAATGGAGAGGGTGGCAGGGAAGAAAAATTACTTTCTTGCTCTTCCCATGTTGCTCCGGCTTTCAGCTCATGCCTGCAATATCCTTGATGTATTTGTGCTGCTTGGAATTCTTAGCGATCACAAGAGAAGGACAGAATTGGTGCAGGAGATTCCATCCAAGGTTTGCATCTGCTCACAACTCAAAGTAGTTCTTTTGAAAAATGGATTCCCACTTGAAAGCAAAATTCATTTCCTTGTGTTTACAAGGAAAAAAAATTCCTCATTGTTTCAGGTAACTGCAGTCCACTCAGCACTTTAATCTTTTAGAAACCAGAGCTCCAAAAGCTGCTAGAACACCTTCAGCAGATTAACTGTGGCTTTCCCATGTGCCTAGAACAGCACTCATTCCAGGATTCCCCATAATGTGTAAAATACTAATATGTGATAAACTGGAAATGAAATAGCACCGCATCTGAGGAACACAGATCAGTCTACCATAGCCGAACGGTAAGCCTGCAGGGAGATTTCTCCAGGATTGCAGGTGGAATTTCAGAAGCAGCAGCACAAAGCCCAGACACCTGGTCTGGCCGCGCTGGCCACGAGAGCACGCAGGACACCTCCTTTTATCTCATGTAGTAGGGGTGGTCAGTGCCTCTGGGATCCGGGGTCTGGGGACTGCCCCTCATCCTAGCTGGCTGAGTCATCCCCTTTCTTTAAATGCACAGTGATTTGACTTTGTTACTGTATTTCCCATCCGATTCTCTGCCCTGTCTCCATGCCCAGGCAGTGACCAGAGCGCCATGTATTCAGATTCTCTAAAGGAAACACACGTTTCAGTTTGCAAGCAGGTATTCTGCCTCCCTCTCATTGCTCTTCCCACTTAGACTTTTCTGGAACTACTCAATGAGCTTGCAGCTTGGGCAGCCCTTGAACTTGAGAGAGGAAGGAGGAGTGGCTGCAGGGAGTGGGGCAGGAGCAGAGGAGCACACCTCACACCTCTTTGGGGGAACCCAGCCTGAGATTCAAACTTGGTAAGTCAGCACAGGAAGCAGCAGGATGGATGGGGACCTGGGTCCCATGACACACGAAAGGAGGAAATACCTGGGGCCTGAGTGTGCTCCCACCGTGAAGCTTCAATCACGTCGTGTAGACAGCTGACCCTGTGCTGAGCCATGAGTCGGCTCATCCACAGGCCATGCATGTCCCAGTGCCGCACAATCCATGATTGATTTTCCCTCCATAGTCCAAGAAGAATTCAGTATAAAAATACCCTGTTCAACAAACAAGTCAAACGACCTGAAAGTGAGATAAATTGGAGGTGAGGCATGGCTGGTGGGTTGGGCAAGCCATTTGCAAGCTGAACATGCCTTGCACTCAGCCACTCCGGGGTTCTCTGCAGGAGCACAGAGCAGAGGTAGGAATTGGAATCCAAGATGTGGGGACCTCTCCACCCCATAAAATGGGTAATTTTTAAATCTTGGTGCTAATTTTTAACATGGCAAATATCAACACACATATTAAAAAAAGCTCTAGGATTGTGAATAATGTTTTATGAGTTTAAAGATGACACAGACCAAAATGTTTGAAAGCCACTAAAAAAACTACTCTTTTTCCTTGAAAAACAAAAACAATTACAGTTTGTATTTCCCTGTCACTATTATTCTTAGTCTAACTGTAACCACTTATATTAATTATCACTTTTCATCACAGCAACTTCTGTTTCATAAAGGAAACGGGGAGCCAGGGTGGAGGTTTGAGGGATGTCATACACAAGTATTGTCTACAGGAAAATGGGTAATTTTGAAAAAGCATTTTATGAGTAAATAGTTACATAACCTGAAATGTAAAACTGTTTCAATTCCCATTCTTACTTTACATGCTTATACTCATAACTTGCATTGAATCTTTCTTTTTATTCCCCTTGAACTCTTATTTTTGCATTTTTCTATCAAAACATGTCATAACATTTGTCTGCGCTATGACGGTGCCCCAGTTATCACGGTATCCAGAGAGTCCTCGCCTCTGAGTGTCACTTCTTAAGTAGGAAGGAACAAGTGGTAGAAGCCGTGTTTCTGACTCTAAATTCTAAAGTAGTGGTCTCCAATTTTATTTTTATTTTTGGAGACAGGGTATTGTTCTGTCATCCAAGGCTGAAGTACAATGTGGCGATCACAACCCACTGCAGCCTTAAACGGCCAGCTCAAGTGATCCTCCCACCCCCGCCTCCCAGGCAGCTGGAACTACAGGCACGTACCACCATGTCTAGCTAATGTTTTCTTTTTATTTTTCATTATTATTTTTTTGAGATGGAGTTTTGCTCTTGTTGCCCAGGCTGGAGTGCAATGGCACGATCTCAGCTCACCACAACCTCTGCCTCCCGGGTTCAAGCAATTCTCCTGTCTCAGCCTCCCAAGTAGCTTGGATTACAGGCATGTGCTACCATATCCAGCTAATTTTGTATTTTTAGTAGAGACGGGGTTTCTCCATATAGGTCAGTTTCATCTCAAACTCCTGAATTCGGGTGATCAACCGGCCCCAGCCTCCCAAAGTGCTGGGATTACAGGCATGAGCCACCTTCCCCGGCCTAATGTTTTAATTTAATTTCTTTTTTTTTTTTTTTTTTTAAAGACAAAGGTCTTGCTGTGTTGCTCAGACTGCCCTCAAACTTCTGGCCTCAGGCATTCCCCCTGCTTTAACCTTCTAATGTCCTGGGATTACAGGCACCAGCCACCACACCTGGCCTCCAAAAATTTTTATTGCCTCATATCTCTATCTGTAAAAAATTATAATATAATCAAGCCTAAGCTTCCCATTAAATTTATACTTATTTATTTAAAGAGAATGACCATGCGCTACTGTATTAATACATGAGGTACATTATAAAACATCCAAAAAATGGGGGAAGAAAATTTTAAAGGACTAGAGAAAAATAAGCTTAATTGGATGCTCCCAAGTTTTCCCCACATCATTTAATTGAATCAGAAATCCCATTTTTAAAAACCATTTGATCCAGTAAAAAGGAAGGATGACTTAATAAAAACGTCCTGTGTGTTTGATAGGAGAGGCTTTTCCATTGTATTTCTTGCCAAATAATCAAACACGCTGAGAACACAGAACAGCTCCCCAAGAAGCTTCCCTGTTTCTGTCCTTAGATGAATTTAAACCCGGCTTGCTGCTACAAGCTCACTTCCTGTGGCAGAGAAAGCTGCCTTGGCTTCCTGGCTTTGTCCCTCGGTGGGTGGCTTCTCCACCGGGTGGGGCTGGGGACAGGCTTAGCAGAGCCTTCACTTCGGTGGCTTTGCAGCAGCCGTTTCTAAGGAGCTGGTGCCTGTGCCCCGTGCAGAGCGCCATCCCTTCGTTTCCCAGCGATTTGTCTCGGCCTAATTGAACTCTCGCTGGCTGTGTTTCGGCACAGTTCTGTTTTGCCTACTGATAAATGGTTGTTCACTTTCCAGTTTCAGAACTTAACTAACCCCTGGAATGAACCACGGTTCATCTTCACGGTGTCCCCAGCGCAGAGTCTTGCGAATCCGACGATGGATGGTGTTCACAGCAAATTGGCTGTTCAGCAGTGACCTGCAGGAACCGCCCCCAGACGATGTGCCATGGCTTTTCTGACAATGCCATGGCCTTCCCCAGACTCACTGGGGAAACTTATTTGAAGTTTTAAGAAAAAGAATTTGGACTTTCTTATAGCTTTTGCTAAAGTTCAGGAGTTCTAAATGATTATCCCAGTGAACCCATCAGATAAATATTTCTGCAACTAAACGAATGAGATGAAATTTGAAACAAAATATATACATATTTTGTATATTCATACATACATACGATAGCTCTGCACCTATCTATCCACACGTCATGTGGGAAAACCAGAAACATGTAATTAAGGCATGTCTCTGAGCTTCTCTACCTCCAGTCATCAAAGTAGCCAAAGCTTATACAGCCAGCAATTCCATGGATGATCAAAACCCATCCTAGCTGGACACCTTTGAGAAAGTGAATTAATATTAGGATTGTGGTACAAAGATAGGAATCGAAGTAAGTCTAAAATGTGGAACGTGCTGCTTATGCTTAATTTTGTTTTGTATTTTCCTTTTTTTTGAGATGAAGTCTTGCTCTATCACCCAGGCTGGAGTGCAATGGCATGCTCTCGGCTCACTGCAACCTCCGCCTTCCAGCTTCAATTATTCTCCTGAATCAGCCTCCTGTGTAGCTGGGATTACAGGTGCACACCACCTCACTCAGCTAATTTTTTTGTGTATATATATATATAATTTTTTTTTCAGTAGAGATGGGGTTTCACCATGTTGGTCAGGCTGGTCTCAAATGCCTGACCTCGTGATCTGCCCACCTCAGCCTCCCAAAGTGCTGGGATTACAAGCGTGAGTCACCATGCCCGCCCTTTTTCCTTTTTTCTCTTCTAATGAGGTGATTTTGCAGGAATAAACTCCCTTAGCCATTAGTCAACATTTTACAAATGAAACCCAGCAAGGAAAAGGAACTCACTGAAGGCCGGTGCTCATTATTGAGGAAGCGGAAACAACAGAACACGGGCTGGATTCTCTGGGCCACGCTCCTTGATTTTGGAAGCACTGTTCTGGTTCACCCAGGACAAGACATCCTTTTTCCTTCTAGAACAACAGCTCGGCCCCATCTGAAAGTAAAAGTTCATTGACGCTTTTTCAAAGGTTTCACAACTCTTAGCTTTTTTGCTGACTTCAGCAAAATAAGCAGTCATCTGGCCAACTTTAAGACTGAGGTTTGCTAAATTGATCCGCATTCTGAGGCTATCAGAAGACTCTGCATATCTCATGGATACTGTTAATAAATTGACAGTTTCATTTGCTCATTGATTTCACACGTTGCTTTTCCTATGTGAAATGCTTTGTAACAGGCTCAATATGAATCTTCAAAGGGAGTGTGATGTGGTCTGCCATGAATATAAGTCAGTGAGTAACAAACATTGCTAAAGGTCCTATTCTGTGACATAGTGATAACCTACTCCCTTGATTTAGGAAAATCATGTGACCCTTGACTTTTTTTTTTTTTTTTTTTTTTTGTTTTAATCTGGGTTTTTTTTTTTTTTTTTTTTTCTTTTTGTTTTTTTTTTTTTTTTTTTTTTTTTTTTTTTTTTTTTTTTTTTTTGTAAGACAGGGTCTCACTGGCACAATCTCAGCTCACTGTAGCCTCAACTTTCTGGGCTCAAGTGGTCCTCCCATCTCAGCCTCTTAAGTAGCTGGGACCACAGGTGCGCATCACCACTCCCAGCCTTTTTATTTATTTATTTATTTTTGTAGAGACAGCGTCTTATTATGTTGCCCAGGCTGGTCTCAAAACTCCCAGACTCAAGTGATCCACCCACCTCAGCCTTCCAAAGTGCTAAGATTACAGGCATGAACCATCGCACCTGGCTAGGCCTTGATTTTTTAAAAATTCAAGCAATACCACCACCTAAAATGAAAAGCAAACCCCCTTCATCTCAGAATCCTAGTCCCATTCCTCAGCAGTTCCTGGTGTACCTTCCAGATACTGTCCCTGCAACCACACAACGTAGATCTGCTTTTCAATACAAATGGGGACATATAAGTCATATTATTCTATGTATACGTCTTGATTTTTATACCTGGTGATACACCTCAACAATCTTTCTGTATCAGCACACACAGCTCTATTCATTTGTTTCCAGTTCTGGAGTATTCCACTGGAATGATGTGCTATATATACATTTTAACCAGCCCTTGATTATGGATATTCATGTTATTTTCAGTTTCTGTTCTTGCCGTGGCAAACAGTGTGGCAATGGCTTTGCTTTTACATACATCTTTATGTGTATTTTCAGAATTTTTGCAGAATAAATTCCTAAAACTGAAATTTCTGGGTCAAAGGGTGTATTCATTTTCTAATTTGTTAGATATCACCAAATAACACTCTATCTTAACACGAAACAAACACATGCAAGGAAGCGGTGCTAATTTACACTCTCATCTAGCATGTGTGCGTGTGCTGGTTCCTCATGCCCTTGCTACCACCTAACTTTGTCAAGGTGACTGGTTAAAGAAAACCATGTCTCAGTTCCATTTGTAGTTCTTAATTGTCAGCATGTTTGAGCATCTTTTCATCCCAGAACTCTGTATATAAAGATTTTTATGTTACCTACCTGCCTTTGTCCATTTTTTTATTATTTACAAAAGTATCTTAATAAGTTTTATAAGGTAATCTTTATCTTTTGTGTTGCAATTTTTTTCTCAGTTCGTCCTGTGGCTTTAATATATTTTACCATGTTCAAGTTTAAGATATGTATATATTATTTATTTATTTATTATTTTTTGAGATGGGAGGGTCTCACTGTTGCTGAGGCTGGAGTGCAGTGGCGCAATCTCAGCTCACTGCAACCTCTGCCTTCTGGGTTCAAGTGATTCCTCTGCCTCAGCCTCCAGAGTAGCTGGGACTGCAGGAGCGTGCCACCACGCCCAGCTAATTTTTGCATTTTTACCATGTTGGCCAGACTGGTCTCAAACTCCTGACCTCAAGTGATCCACCCACCTTGGCCTTCCAAAGTGCTGGGATTAAAGGGCATGAGTCACTACACCTGGCCAAGTTTAAGATAAATATATATATATAACGTATACATAGAGAGAGAAAGGGATAAAAAGATAAAGGTTGATTAAATTATTTTTCTTATGGCTTCTGAGGCTTGTGTCTTGCTCAAAAAGGATTTTCTTTTTGTTCTAAGATTACTTTTTAAATATCTGCCATATTTTCTTCTAGTGATTTTATGGTTGTTTTTTTTTTAAGTTTAAATGTTTGGTTCAGACTTTCATTTCGGAAGGACATGAAAGCCTTTTGTTCCCATGGTAACATCAAGGAAAACTCAGAAAAAATAAAAATTATACTTTCCCATGGGGCTAACAAAGATCAGCAGTCAAAAGAAGACTTAATGAACTGAATTTTGGAAACATGAGCCCTTCGTTGGCAAAGAGAAAGCCAGGACAGCTTCCATTCCTCTTCCATTCCTGACATGAGTTTCTAATCTAGGCATCTAAGGGTTGGCCTAGGCAGAGATTTGCAAGGAGGAGAAAACAGCAGCTGAACTATACATGACGGTGCAGCCTGGATGTGTGGAGTGCAATATAAGAGTATGCTAATCGCAAAAACAAGTTAGGCCAATCCCTTTCACATCATCACCACCACTACGCTCAAACTTTGACAAAAAAGGTGTCAGTGAAGAAAGGGCAAAGACGCAGGGCAAAACTACAAAGACCCATGTACTTTCACAATGCTTGGATTCCAAGGGAATATCAATTCATAATATTCAAAGGGAATGTTATGGGCTCTGAATGGACTTTTTGTTCTAAGATTATTTTTTAAAAAGATGCCATATTTTCTTCTAGTGATTTTATGTTTTTTTTTTTAAATGTTTGGTTCAGACTTTCACTTCAGAATGGCATAAAAGCCTTTTGTTCCCATGGTAACGTCAAGAAAAACTCCAAAAAAAATAAAAATTATACTTTCCCAGGGGGCTAACAGCGATCATGAATACAAGTCTGTGAGTAATATACATTGCTAATGTCCTATTTCATAACATAGGGATAACCTACTCTTTTTATTTATGAAACTCACATGGGTCCTTGACTTTTTTTTTTTTTTTTGGAGGACAGGGTCTCATTCTGTCGCCCAGGCTGGAATGCAGTGGCACAATCACAGCTCACTGTAGCCTCAACCTCCTGGGCTCAAGTGATTCTCCCACCTCAGCCTTTTGTGTAACTGGGAATCCAAAGTAAGTTAAAAATAGCTAAAGTGGAAGCTCATCCACTCAAATATTGGTAATATCTAAAAGATAATAGTACTATGAGAGTGAGGGCTGGTCTAAGCATAAGAGATCTCAATCTAATTAAAGATTCAGCCAATTTGACTCTAAAAGGAATCTGAATAATTAGTCCTTCTCCCTGTTAGACAGAGGGAAAGCTTATCTTCTCTCGGGAAAAACAACAAAACATTATTATATTTCAATCTTAATTGTATTTTTATATGTATATTTTAGGTATAATAAAAAATTATGAGGCATGCAGAGATATAATACATACTCACCAATAATTAAAAGAACGCATAGTCAATAGAAGCAGACCCATAGTTAAACCCAGTTACTGGAACTAGCTGCAAGATTATTTAAGCAACTATTATATACATTTTAAACAAATGTATAGAAAAATGTGGATCTAATGGGTAAGAGATAGGGGTATGTCAGATGACAAAAGAGAACTCTTAAAAAAAAGACAAAGTGGAAATTCTAGCATGATAAAATGCAATGTCTGTGATAAAACATTCACTGGATGACAATAACAGCAATTTGAATTTTCAAAAGAAAGCATTAGCAAACCTGAACACAGGTTAATAGAAACTATCCAATTAAGTCAGAGTTTGAAAAAATATAGTAAAAACAATGTGGTGTCAATAATGAGATTAACAACTGACTTCCTATCAGAAATGATGCAAGTCAGAAGACAATGAAATGATAACTTCAAATTATTAAGAGAAAAAAACACTATCAACCTAGAATTCTATATACAATAGTCACCCTTTGTCTATGGTTTTGCTTTCCAAGGTTTCAGATACCCAAGGTCACTGCAGTCTGAAGTTATGAAATGGAAAATTCCAGAAATAAACAATTCATAGGTTTTAAATCATGTGCTGTTCTAAGCAGTGGGAAGAAATTTTATACTGTCCTTCTCCTTCCTGCCTAGGATGTAAGTCATCCTTTTGTCTAGCATATTTACAGTCTATGATACCTGCCTGCTAGTCACTTAGTAGCTCTCTTGGTTATCAGATTAAAAAAAAAAACAGTGTTTGTAGGGTTCAGTACTATCTGTGGTTTCAGGCATCCGCTGGGGGTCTTGGAATGTATCCCCCACAGATAAAGGACAACTACCTTTCAGAGGCAGCAGATGGGAAAACCAGATATAAAAGAAACAAAGTCACAGTGCGGCAATCATGCATAGGGAGTGACAGATGTCCAATTCCGAGAGCACACAAAGATGTCTGGTCCCCAGAGTTCCTGATAGGTCATTAATGCTGGTGGTGTGTCCTGACGATAAGAAGCCATTGTTCTTTTTTCTGTTAAGTAGTGGCTGTGGCTGCTTAGCTACTGATATGCTTTCCTGATTCCTCTATTTTCTGTTCTTTTTCTTTTAAATGACAAGTCACTACCTGAAATAAGAGAAAGTCTCTATGTGTTGCAACCAGAAAGAGCCGACAATATAATTCCTTTAGACAGGATGGCTTCTCTCCTAAGATTTTGGGACATTTCAAACATTCAAAATTAAAAAAGGGAGAAGAAGACAACTAGACAGCCCAACAGAGGAAAAGATCACCAATGGCTTCCCAGGATCCTGGACCTCCAGGCATGTAAGTTTTCACAAATTCTCTCCAGTGATAATGCAAAGAGAGAATGAAATACCACCCACTGGTTGATAAAAATTGAAGAACAGATTGTTGGCTTTGCTGAGACAGTCCACATTTTTAATGTAGAATGTAGACAGGTGTCCTGGGTGAAAGTCAATACAGAGAAATTGAGAAAAGGACAGTAAGGGGCTTTTCACTTGTTTCTGCATTCTAAGCTGAGGTAAGTTCATGAGAGTCTTTTCTAAATTGCCACAATTATAAAAACCTGTCCCCTGGTAGTCATCATTTAGCAGTGTGTTTTTCCTATAGCTTATGTTCAACAAATAGCAATGTAGCTATTACTGGGAATACTTATCATAGGACATTCTGCCCATCAGCCACTCTGCAGGAGTGAGGTATCACCAGTCATTTTCAGGGAAATGCTTTTTTTTTTCTTTTTTTTGAGACAGGGTTTCACTCTGTCACCCAGGCTGGAGTGCAGTGGCACCATCTCGGCTCACTGCAACCTCCACTTCCCAGGTTCAAGCCATTCTTCTGTCTCAGCCTCCTGAGTAGCTGGAATTGCAGGTGCCTGCCACAATACCTGGCTAATTTTTGTAGTTTTAGTAGTGATGGGGTTTCACCACATTGGTCAGGCTGGTCTTGAACTCCTGACCTCAGGTGATCCGCCCACCTTGGCTTCCCAAAGTGCTGGGATTACAGGTGTGAGCCATCATGCCTGGCCTCAGAGCAATGTTGTTTAGACTCTACCCTCTGCCAAGAGATGATCTAAAGATGGACAACCATCCTTTGGCTTTTAAACCTTCCTTTCACATACACAATACTTAAGTCCAAGGTTACAGTAGCTCTGCTTCTCTGGGTCTCCCTTGGCCCTTTCTCCTCTCTGCACCAGCTTTGTCCTAAGGCCAGCACCTCTCAAGGTTGCAAGATAGATAAGGCATTTCCAGGTTTTACATTTAAACACAGCAATGTTCAGAAGAAGAGTTTTTGTCACCTGGCCATTCCTAAGCCAGTCACCATCAAGGAGAATTGGATTATTCAGACAAACTAGAATCTACTGCATGGAGCTAGGGATAGGCTAGCCTCTCTCAAGAGGCTTGGTTGTGTGGAAGAGAATATATTTCTCAATAAACTGGGTTCTGTTAGGAAGGAGGAAGAGTTCATGGATGTTAGGCAATTTAGGGTATCCTGCCCAAGTTAAATTTTCCAATGGCTGGTATCATTGCTTTTTAACAAACCACAGTTTGTTTAGTTTCATCATCATTAATTTCATTTACTGTGGATTATTTTGCTAAGCCTACCATGTGCAGTGAAGCATATCTTCACCAACAATACTTTGAACTGTAATTTCCAATAACTAAACTTAAAGGCTATGAACACTGTGAACCAAGAACAGATTATCCACATCGCATCACCGGAGCCGATGAAGTCGCCATCCTCAACACCATCACCAGTATCCCTAAACTTGTGTCCATAATGATCCTTGTTGTTCAGAGTTTTTCCTTAAGAAAGAGAAGAAGAAAAAGCAAGTTGTGTTTGCTTATGGGATATGATACTCTAGCCAAGAGGGCTGGGCTCAGAAAGGATCAAGAATCTCTGCTTTGGGTGGGAATTCCTATTAGTATTTTCCATTCTTCTTTGCCATAGCAAGGAAAGATAATGAATAAAGATTTCTTAGCATCATGTGTGCTTACCTCAGTCTTAGGATGGGAGACATTCAGCTCCTCCTCATTAGTCTCTTGTCTAAAATTAAAAGAAATAAGATCACTTTACTCAATTGACCTTCTCCTACTTCTTGTATAAAGTAAAAAGATCAAGACTTGGGAATTAAAAATACAACTTCTCTGGCTGGAGTAATTGCAAGCTAATTACTGCTATCATTAGGCATTAAATTAAAATTTCAGCACTTAAATTCTACATGCTACAAAGTTCAGGTCCTCATCACATCTTACTTAGATCACTTCAATTGCTTCTAACCTGATCTCACTGACTTCTCCAATTCATCTTAAACAACATTCCCAAGGGATCTTTCAAAAACACAAATCTGATAGTGTCACTTTCTTGCCTATAATTTTTTTTAAGAGACAGAGTCTCACTGTCTCCCAGGCTGGAGAATCACTTGAACCCAATCTCTGCCTTCCGGGTTCAAGAGATTCGCCTGCATCAGCCTCCTGAGTAGCTGGGATTACAGGCTCCTGCCACCACACCAGGCGAATTTTTGTATTTTTAGTACAGATGGGGTTTTGCCATGTTGGCCAGGCTGGTCTTGAACTCCTGACCTCAAGTGATCCACCCACCTCAGCCTTTCAAAGTGCTGGGATTACAGAGGTGAGTCACTGCACCCAGCCTGCCTATAATTCTTAAAAAGCTTTCTACAAGATAAGTAGGCACACATACCCATCTTATTCTGGCCTCTGCCTGTCTCTCCAACCTCATCTCTCACCCCAGTCCCCAGCAAAATTCTACCAGGTGCTGCAGTCTTAGGACTCCCTTCTTGCAGTGTCCAGAACATCTGTGTGCTTCCTGCCTTCCAGCCTTTGTGCACCTTGCTCCTTCTACCTGGAATGTCCTTTCTCCTTTATTCTTCTGCTAAATTCCCATTTATGCTTCAAAATTCCCTCCAAATACCCCATTGTCTTTAAACATCTGTTTTTACTCTACCAGGAAGTTAGTTGTCTATCTTTGATGGCTTATTTATTCATAGTGTTTAAGATGGTGAGCTTCTAAGTCAAACTGTCCAGGTTCAAAGTTAGGTTCCACCACTTACTGGCTATGTGGCCTTGTAAAGAACTATGCAGAGTTTGATGTTCTATTTCACATACAAGCTATCTAGTTCGCTGTTACTCTTTCATAGGTGCTGGCAGAAGGCACAGAACTCTTGGGTCAGAGACAAAGGACTTTGCTAATCACGACCAAAGCAGTAGGCAGAGCTGCACAATTGCTGGTTCCCTGTGCCCCCAAGTCTTATGATGGAGATGCAGACGGCTCCTCGTGGATGCCTGTGCACAAGGCCAGTCACCTTACACGAGAGGAACCCTGAGCTTGAGCTTGGGAAATCACCACTTTTATAATAAGTGGAATAAAAAGACTTCCCTGTGGAGAAAGGAGAACATTTATACACTGTTGGTAGGAATGTAAATTAGTACAACCTCTGCGGCGGTTTCTCAAAGAACTAAAAACAGAACTACCATTCAACCTGGCAATCTCGCCACTGGGCATCTACCCAAAGGAAAAGAAATTGTTATATCAAAAAGTCAGTTTCTCTCATATGTGTATCACAGCACTATTCACAATAGCAAAGGTATGGAATCAACCTAAGTCCATGGATGAATGAATGAATTATAAAGGCCCATCAGTAATAGACTGGATAAAGAAAATGTGGCATAATTCACACCATTGAATACTATGCAGCCATAAAAAAAATAATGAGATAATGTCCTCTGCAGGGACATGGCTGGAGCTGGAGGCCATTACTCTTAGCAAACTAATGCAGGAACAGAAAATCAAATACTGCATGTTCTTACTTATAAGCAGGAGCTAAGAGATGAGAATACATGGACACAAAGAGGGTAACAACAGACACTGGGGCCTATTGGAGGGTGGAAGGCTGGAGGAGGGAGAGGATCAGGAAAAATAACTAATGGATATTAGATGTAATGAAATAATCTGTACCATAAACTGCCATATCACAAATTTACCTATGTAACAAACCTGCACATGTACCCCTGAACTTAAAAGTTAAAAAAAAAAAAAAGAAAAAAAAAGAAAATGTGGTACATATACACAATGGAATACTATGCAGCCATAAAAAAGAATAAGATCATGTCTTTTGAAGCAATATGGTTGGAGCTGAAGGCCATTGTCCTAGGTGAAGTAACTAAGAATCAGAAAGTCAAATGTTGAATGCTATCATTTATAAGAAGGAGCTAAACAAGGGGTACACCTGAGTACACAGAGGTAAATAATAGATATTGAGGACCCCAAGAGAGGAGGGCAGGAGGGGGATGAAGGTTGAAAAATTACCTATTGGGTACAGTGTTCAGTATTTGGGTGATGGGTACACTAGAAACTCAAACCTTGCATTCAATAATATATCCATGTAACAAACCTGCACACATAGCCCCGAATCTATAAAAATAAAATTTTAAAAGGTGAAACAGAACCTTCTCTTTGTCCAGGGGGAAATGCTACATCATCCTTCAAGGTTGCCTGCTGCAACCCAGAGACACAGCTCAGGTAAAGGGCCATCAGGCAGGCACACCTGCAGGGTGAGGAAGAGACACTCAGGGCCGCAGGGGATCATCTCTCCCGGGACCCCTGGACCTACGATTGAACTTCTCATTACCTCAGTTTCCTTGGGTCTTAAGTTGGGATAATCAAAAGGGTTGAAAGGATTAACCTAGAGTAAGTGACAAGCGACAGCTATTACTGTCAATCCTCCACTCTGCCCCTCCCTACCTTCCACATGTTTTATTTGTCACTTTTACTCTATTTCACAGTAAATAAATAATAGAGATGGGGTTTCACTGTGTTGCAAAGGCTGGTCTCAAACTCTTGGGCTCAGAGGATCTTCTCCTCTAGCCTCCCAAATGCAGGGTGCAGGGGTAACAGATGTGAGCCACCACACCTGGCCATAAGTGTTCATTTACAGTTTGTTTTCCTACTGCCCAACAGCTCCTTGAAACATATTCATCCCTGCATCTCAGACACCAGTACAGGGTAGATAATTTTACATTTTTGATAAAAGGAGGAAATGAAAAGTCTCCCTGTATATCAACCACTGTGATCTGACTAGAGTGTCTGTATACTTTTGATCAAATTTCATGACTCCAAACTCTTCAATGTTTTGGTGAAAAAAAAAAAATCATTCTCTTTTAGGTAGTGCTGTTTTCTTTTCTTTCTTTTTTTGAGACAGAGTCTCACTCTGTGAGACTGGAGTGCAGTAGTGGGATCTGGGCTCACTGCAACCTTCACCTCCCAGGTTCAAGCGATTCTTCTGCCTCAGCCTCCCGAGTAGCTGGGATTACAGGTGCCTACCATGAAGGTGGGCTAATTTTTGTGTTTTTAGTAGAGATGGGGTTTTGTCATGTGGGCCAGGCTGGTTTCAAGCTCCTGACCTCAGGTGATCCACCCACCTCGGCCTCCCAAAGTGCTGGGATTACAGGCGTGAGCCACCACGCCCAGCCTAGGTAGTGCTCTTTTCAATGCAATAACATGAAATGACAATCATTAACACAGGAAGATTAAGTAGTTCCTCTAGGAAAGTTACTTGGTCTCACCTGTTTCCATTTCTATGGAATGGAATGGGGATTATAATAGTGCCTACTCTGTAGTGAGGTTGGAAGAAATAAATGAGTTAATGTATATAAAATGTTTAGAAGAGCATTTAGCGCGTGCTAAATCTATGTCAGCTCTTTATTTCTCACTGGATCTCATAACCTCTTGTTGAGTGACGGGAAATCATTGCAGATTTTGGTCGTCTGCGATGCCTAAAAGACAGAAACTTAGTTTCCACTATTATTGCTCTAATTCAGAAAACAGTGACTCTGGAGATAGAAATCCAGTGGGTCCTTGTTTTATCAACAGTTACTCAGAACAATCCAGGTGAACACGTGGCAGAAACTCTCGTGGGCTGCTGGACCTAATGGGCTTCCTCTGACCAAATAGAAGCCGCCAGGAGAGGTGACCCAATGTCTAACATAAATTCTGACCCGTGACCAGTAAATCAGTAAATCTCAGAAAAACAAACACATAAATACATAAAGGAAGAATAAAAAAAGTCCCCGAAACCATTTAACATGGCCATGGTTTCACATACCTGAGAGGAAACCATCATTTAGTCTTTTTTCTGAAATAAAGGAGGCTGTGGACAGGCAACTCTTTCTGTAACAGTCTCCAATTCTTTCAGCTGAGTTTTCTGAAATCATGGTCCTTCACTCTACTTCTTTGATTGTCCAAACCTCACTGAAACAAGACTTTCCTGTTCTTTGGCCCCATGCAATGTTTTGTTAGCTAGAAAATGCAGCCTTCTAACCGGTATGCACTTTACTGGTCTCCAGTGTCTATTAAACAGCCAAAAGCCCCTCTCACCCGAGAAACGTTAGAACTCAGAAATGCCTATGGCCTGTGGGTGAGACGAGATTGACTACAGGTCTGTGATTTCTCTGGATTTCACAACAAGACCTGTGTTGTTTTCTACCCCAGTCTACCTATAACAGGATTTCACCCACAGCTGCTGCCAGCATTCACTCACCTCTGACGACACACACCTGCCTGGCCCACCAGAGATCCACAGCACTAATGCGCTGCTTTTCTGAGACGGGAGAAAGAAAATGCAAAGATTGATAGAAACGGGAGTTCAACAAGACAACAAAATGCTCAGAAGAGCAAACCCTAGTCCCAGTTCTAACCGCACCTGGCCTTGTTATATGCATGTAGCTTCTTACACTGGCATGTGTGTTGTACATGTATACATGTGTGTAAAAACATATACTCTTTTAAAAAATATTTAACAATCATGGACTATGATAACAAAAGAGACTATTATTTTTCAGATCAAGAGGCTTTCATGTCCCAAATCACATACTCGGTTGAGAGTGGGTCCAGAATTCGGTCTTGGTTGTTCTCTCAGGTCGAAGCACGTGCTACAGTGTACCACGGTGTCTCTCCCGGGTGCCTCAGCATGAACCATTTGCACCTGAAATCAGCTACATAAAAAAACTCGTTTTCTAATATAGTATCCA